AAAACAAATAATCTATGTGCTACTGGAAGGTTAGAGGATTAGGCTCCTAATTTCTTTAAAATCTCTATTGCTTCATTTCTCATAGAGGGTCAAAGTGGAATTGAAAATAAGATAGATAAAATTGTTAAAATTCCCATGAAGATAAATCTAAAATGAAAAATTACCAAACTCCTGTATGAAGGTGGTTTTTTTTTTTTTGTTTCAAACCAATTTAGTTGCTCCTTAGATGAAAAGGTTTTTAAGAGTTTTAAATTAATTCAACGGATGGAGGTGTTTTGCCTGAATCAGTAGCATTGTAGACTTGAAACTGTTTGTAGATAGGTATTTATTCTCTAAATGTTGTAGGTAGGGAATTATTTTCATTTAAAGGAAGTTTATATTAATATTTAAGGGAATTTTGCAACTTCTGTTCATTAATTGTAGAAAATGCCCAAGTGCCTATGAAAAAAATGATAATGGTATTGATATTTCATCCTGAAGGGTCTCAAAACAATTTACAGATTGGTAGTATAACCACACTGAAACGCACCCAGCTTCTTGGTGGAACATGGCAGCTGTTTAATAGCCCATAGCAAAACTATACAACAGCAGGTTGTGGAAAAAGACATGAATATGGATCAAATACAAATTGGCAGTGGAGGATTTAGTTACTGTACTCAAATTAAAGTTAGGCAAAGTGGAATTCTGCTAGAATATTGAGTCTGTGTGTGAAGCGCTACACTTTATCTGACCACAGCTCCTGGTATGAGGACCTGTGGTTGGCCCATCTGAAAGGCAGGCAGAGGACTGTATGCTAAAATTTAATCCCTGATATATACTGTAGACCAATGCTTTTGACAAACAAATTTAATTGTGAATACTTTGCTGTTTGCACTTGCAGAGGGGTTTATTAAAAACATTTGATGTTAAAACGGGTGCCTGAGGGGGATCTCGGGCAGATGTGGCAATAGATTTTGAAGGGGGTGGCAAGAGTTTTGGCTTGACTACTTAGTTTTAGTAATTACTTTTTACCGAAAATGGAATGCTACTGGAGAAGGCTGTATTGCTAACAGCTGCCCCAGCTGTGATGGCTGAGAAGTGTTTTGTTTTGTTTTTTAAATAGATGTAGAGCATTTGTTTGCTAGGAAAAAAAGTGAACCAAGAAAGGCAACAAGAAGGTACCAGAAAATAATTCCCTCGGGTCACTGTTGGCCTGAGTGGAATTTTGACCTGTGACTGAAGCTGTATGATCTATAGGTCTAGCACATCCCATTGCAACTTCTTTTTACCATTTTCCACAAAATACATGAAGAATCTGCAAACTTTTTATTTGCTCTGGGAAAGTGTATGGAAGTCCGACTGCACCATAGCTCTCTGCAGCACATGCCCGATTTAAAAGGAGCAAATATGACTTGAACAATTTTTCATGTGCTTTAGTATGCATGTATGTATTTATTTATTTATTTGGATAATTGAGTTTTCCCTCAGCTAAGGAAAAGCTGGTGTTGCTGACATTACAATGTGTTTGTGAAGAAAGACTGATACCACAACACATACAAGCAACTGCAAGGTCATTACTTACCCAGCATAATTAGAACATCCATTCCGAAGGGGGAAAACATTTAAAAGATAAAGAGTGAATTTAAAAATGATTCTTCCCATTGCATTTTTTTCATAATTATAGTTTTAACAGCTTGTGCTGATGGTAGAAGCAGCTACTTAAGAAAAATTAGAAGCCTCATTCGGGGAAGATGATCCCTCAAGAGACCTTGTGTTGTCATTTCTCAAGAACCACAAGCAGAAACCTCATTCAGGATACTGTGTGGTGTTTTGATGTATAGGGGGTATACTTAGCTTATTATGGCCAGTGCTGGATATTTTAATTAAAAACCACCACAACAGCCACAGATGTATTGTTTCCCCCTTATTCTTCCCCTTGTCTGTGTGCAAAACCACAAATGTACTCCTGTCCCTGAACTGCAAAGAATGAAAACCATAGCAGACAGGCAGGAGAGAAGCAGTAGGTTTCCTAAATTTGTGTGTGACATATCTTAGCATCAAAATTCTCACTGCAGCACACAAGCCTTTTGTACTTCTCTGAGTTTTCTGCGGTTGCCAAAGGGAGGTGGGAAACGGAGAGGGAAAACAAAACCAAACAAAAAAACAACCAGTCACCGCATTTAATTTATGAGCAAGATTATTGTTTTACAAATAACCTTCATGATAAATAAAGTCTCATGGCAACATTTTCAGCCGCGCTTTTATCAAGACTCTCTGAGCAGTGTGTGTAATATGCCTGGCAATCGAATCACAGCTGTGTGCCTGGGTAGGGAATCTCTGCGGAGACAACACTTCCTTAATTTAAACAATTGTAGGCTGCAGGAGTTCAAAAATTTCAGCTGACTTTAACTGTCACTAGCCCAAGCACCTTTATCCCCAGGCGAGCAGCAGCAGCTGGATTTCATTTCCTGCTGCCAGACTGTCCGACATCTTTGCTGAACATCCCGGGAACTGAGCGTCTTTACTTTAAGGATTTTATTCAAGGTGACAGCTCCTCACACTTTAGCGTTCAGATCACCTCAAGTAGCTGAGATATCAGTGAAAATGAGAGCACTTCTCCAGCAAACTCCAAATTTAGATTGACTGAGGTTATCCTTAGGCCTCTAGACCCAGCCTCCACGACAGCGCAGGCCTGCCAGTAACTTTAAAACTACAGCGGAGTTTGTAATGATGTCTGGGGAGAAATATTCTGCCGGAGCAGTGGAGGATACTATAAGCGATAGGAAATGATGTCAGATTTAGTTAGGGCTGGAGACAGTGTTAGAATATACTTGGCATAATATGGCACCGGTATCTCTGTCAGCATCTCTGTTTTCTGTCACCGCACACAATCCCAGGCCTGTCTGTAGCCCTGACAGTGTCTTTTCAGATCAGGTTATTGCCAACTGGGAGACTGGCTCAGCGCAGCGCCATACAGCCCCCTTTGTTTGAAGTCTGCCCTTTTGTCATTAATGCACTTGATGTCTATTTAAATCTGACGGTGAATGCAGTATCTGTTTTCCTGTCAAGAGATCATTGACAATATTAATACCTCATGTCCTTGCCTCATTTTCTAAGCGCTGACACCTAGCTACAGTCTCCAGCATTCATCAAACAGCACTCTCTCACCAGCATCTCTATAAACAGTCTTGCTTCCAGTCCTTAAGAAATGCGGCAGACCTCAAACAAGACTTTTATCAATGCCAGCGAAAAAGGAGGCTGAAGAATGCCATTAATAAACTGTTCGTATCCTTTACATTTAGAGCTGTAAATGGCCTTGTTACCAACCTAATGCCTGCTGCAGTTTGACTTGGAATATCATCTGTTTAGGGGGAAAAAAACCTTTGCTTTTCATTAGACGCTTCTTTAGGAATGGTGATATCAGCCCTTGAATGTGGAAACTGCTCCACTAGTGAAATTATTGAAATTGAAATTATTGAAGAAATCTCCGAGGAGGAGGGGAAAGGCATCAGGCACTGCACCTTATAGTCCCCATTTGTGTTATCCTGAAGAGAAATGTGTTTTTCACACCAAATGACAGGCCTATCAATTTATATCTTTTTTTCCATAGGAATACGTTACTATCCTGATGTCTTAGAAGGAAAGAAGAGCATGGGTTAACCTTAATCTTGTACAGCCCATGCCTTCCAAGGCTTTGTTTGCTTATCTGATGAACGTTATACTGGGAAAATAGATGCAGAATATAAAAGCTTGCATACTTAATTCATAGTGCAGGTGAGCAGAGTATTTGCTGTGTGAGTCCTGGGAAGCTAAAACACCAATGAATTGAGGATCTGCTCCTCCCCCACCTTTACCCTTTACGTGAGGCGATGTTTGTCTCCTTTGGGCCAGGTTATGTTTGCCCTTATGGGGGGTGAGTGAGCCAGGTTCTTCAGGGATTGCTGTGTTAAGACACTCCCAAGGTAGAGGAGACTCTTTCACCTTCCTTCCGTGTGCGGGAGATGACTTTAATTTGACTACACGTGCCTGGGGGCACAAAGAACAACTCTGCTAGGAAAATTTAACATCTTTGAGGATGTTCACAGGTGGGATGTGACTGTGAACTTACGCTTTCACATACCACTTAGTACCACCAGAGGGGATGCTTTTGAATAAGGTAGCGGGATCTGCAGGTATGTGTGTCTCACCCACAGCAGTTAAGGCTTCCTCAGGCATTTTGCCACCTCTACCCGCTGAGAATAATGTGCCTTGTCTCCCAACAGCAGCCTTCTGGATGATTTTTGAAAGCATCCCCTACGTACTGGTATTTAGCTTAATTTATAATTGCATCTTGCTCACGGGATGTTGTTTGGAGAGCTGCTTTGGAAATGTTTTTACTAAATGGCTATTTGTACGCCTGGGAAAGATGCTGGAGTCTGGAGGGCTAACCATTAGGAAGGCCCAAGCTCAAGCCCACGTCTGTCAGAGACTTCTCGTGTAGATTTCAGCTGGTCACTTCAGTTCTCTGCCACTGCAAAGCAGGGATGGCTTTAGGCGCGTGCAGGGTGGCGTTGTGAAGGTTTGAAAGGTTTTTCCTGGATTCACATTAAACCGTAACTATTCGCTGCTTTTTTTCTTTTTGGTTTTAATCATCAGGAAAACCCTGTAAATGTGTAGCAGGGAGATTACAGTGCAAAATGTAACTTCAACCCCGACTTCCTTGTTTTCAAAAGCAGGAGAGAGGCACTGTGATTTAAAATATAGTGTATGATGTGTCAGTGTTATGTCATTCAATTTTTTGAAGACGCTTGTGGGTGTATGTTTAACAGGATAGGTCTTGCAGGTATTTGAGCACATTTTCCCAACGGATTCAAAACTGCCAATTGAAATGGTAATGCTGAATATTTCAAACGCACAAACTTTCTTTTGCAGGACAAGAAAAAACTGTTCCCTTTCCACCTTCAAATTTCCCTGGTTATGTGCTTTATTTGTGTATCATGCCAATGTGGTCCTAATTGTAATTAATTTCCTTTTTATTGTAGGCATTTTGGGAAAATGCCGCTACATTTACTATGGAAAACATTCTGAGGGCAACAGATTCATCCGAGACGACCAGCTCTAAAACACAGCGTTGTTTCATGCCTCTTCAACGCCTCCACACGAGAAGCACAAATTGCATCTAAATTTTAAGCATGTAACTAAAGTCCTCTAGTGCCTTCTGCTGACTTTGCCAAGCCTGTCAAGATCATCCTTCTATCTTAGTCTGAGTAGTCACATAGAGATTGACATGATTGCCTTTAAGCAGGTCCCATCCACCAGCGTGACAGACAGCTGCAGCCGAGCACCCGGCCTGACAGGAGGAGCACCGTGATGGATTGCCTGGTCCAATTGCCGCTCGCAGAAGAGCAGGGGTCACACCTGGGGCTTCAGTGAGCATGCTCCATCCCTCCGCGCCTCGGCAAAAGCAGCGCCTTTATCTCTAGCTTGCCTGTTGAGCAAAAGTGGCTGGCGATATCCGAGTGTTTATAAAAGAGAGGGGCTATAATTTCAGATGAAAAAGCCCTTATCTGTTCTTATTTTTTAGCTTGTGAATTAAGTGCTTGTGTTTCTATCATCTCATGCATGCTTACACAAATCCTTTCACAGAGGTTTTTTTCTGTTTGGTGTCCACCCCTAAATGAGCCTAGATGGATTATTTTTTCTTTCTGAAAATATTTTGGCCATGCAAAGTATTAATAATTTTTATAGTTGTTTATATGCAAGGGAAAAGGATTTAGGCAATTTTACAGACAAACAAAATTTGCTAATTCTTAAATTGCACCTCAACATTTACTAACTCTGACCTTCAGAAAAGCAATCATTTTTTAATGCTGTAGAATAGTGGCACAGCTTAATTCTATATACGTGGAAGAAACCTTCAATTGTGATATTGACAGTGTGTATTATTCCCAGTTTATTGCACAAGATATTTTTTAACTTGCACAGAGATTACATTTAGAATTAAATGCTTAAATTTGGAAAGAAAAAAAGTGCTTAAAAGGAGTGATATAAAATAAAATTGCCACCAGATGGGTTTGATTATTCAGAGGAGAAAAAAGTCAATAAAAGTAACTGGTGGAATTAACATAATTAACAGCTTTACTAATATGTTATAGAGACGAGTTTTGAATAATCCCTTTTGATGCCTATGTAAGAAAGGCTATATTCAAATTTTCAGTGGGAAAAATAAAACTGCATAGTATGTTTCCTGCTTTTCTGATAGACAGGTTAGACATATTTAGAATCATGAACTTTTTACTGTGAAAAAAAATCCAATACTTTATACGTATATTGTGTTACGTGCTACTAGATACAATGGGACTGGCCAAGGAATCTGCAAAACTTCTGACCTCTGGGCTGTTCCAAACCCATCCATATTGGTCCCAGTTGAAAGTCATCACTGTCTGGGTGTTCTTGTCTTGTTTGAAGTTACTTGGTGGTCTTAATTCACTTTCCTGGTTGAAAAAATGTCAGTTTTTAGAAGTTACCTACTTTTGGGGGCTATTACCAGTTACTGTTGTAGGTGGAAGTGAACTGGATATTGAAGGCAATCGTGAAATCAGGTTTGACCAATGAAAAAGAATGAGACATTGGCAGAGTGACAAAGAAAAGCTGCTGCAGAAGGTTTTAGGCCTTATTCAGTAAATGGAAGTCTTCACTCACTTTGAAAGTCTATAATAAATCTTTAACAGATACTTAAAATCAGTGACCAATGTAGAAATACCCAGTTAGCACCACCTGCGGTTCAAATTGAGCTCTAAGCTGTTTGCCATACAAACTGGTGTCGGGAAAGCATGTTTTGGCCACTTGTAATGTCTCTGCTAATGTCATAGATGGTTACAAATGAAATTCCAATTCACATTAGAAGTCCTGGGAGATATAAGATAAAGGAAAACTACATGCCACTTTTTTTTTTTTAATAAAAAAAATCATTAGAAATATTTAGGGCACTTGTCGTCTCTTGGTTACCAAAATAACAGCAATCCTAGTTTGTTCGTATCATATTGTCTGTTTTGAACGCTCCACACATTTTGGCCATGGCATATTATAGACAGCAGGGTTCTGAATAAGGGTGTTTAGAATAACCTAATGTCACTTTCAGTCTGGTTGCATATATGTTCTTGTCTTTATAAAAGGCTTTAACCCTGCCTCAAACAATAAACAGCACTTGCAAACTGACCGCATGATTTCTCCATCTTTATTTTGCTTGTTTACTTTTCCTAATGTCAAAACCATTTGTATCATTTTCAGGAGTGTTTTCTTCTCAGGAAAGCTTTGGAGGCAAAAATATTTTTGGAATGAGATGTGATCAAAGTCTCTTCCATTTTGGTTTTTGTTTTTACTTGGGGGATTATATACATATACTTAATATGGTAAAGCCCTAATTAAAGTTTGCTCAAAGGGAATTCACACCAAATGTCACTGAATCTGGAAAATCAAAAGGATAATCTGTGAAAAATTATTTTATATTACTAACATATTAGGATATTATTTATAAACAAGCATGGATGCTTGTTACTGTTTAACTGTAACAGAATTACGTTTTTATATGCAGGGCACTTTATTTTTAGATTTCGTCTGCTAAAGTTCTGTTTTAAGAGATGGCAAACTTTTCAGACTGGGGACTGCTATCTACACTTCACCCTTTCCTCAGTAGGAACTGTGCCTGAATTTCTTAACTGAACTGAGTATCATATAGGATGAATGTTGCAGTAATCTAAGAGATTCCACTCTCTCCTTTACTCCCCCTTCTCCCTACAAGGCACATCTTTCCCTCTCAAGATTAACCAGGCTATTAAAAAGAAAAGATTTGCCTACAAAGCTATAAGGATTTTAAAATTTGTATCTTTCCAAGGAACCACTGCATTCTTGGTTCTTTGTGTTATCATATGAAAAATTTTGGCCAGCCGTGTTTCTTGATGGTTGACAAGGCTTGAGATCCACAGTGTGCTTGAATAAGTAATCCTCAAATACCACAATTTAAAAAAAAAGGCTATTTTAAAATGTTGTTTTATTTTATGTATTTTTATGTTATTTTAATTGATGCATTTTTCTTCAGTTTTATGTTCAGTCTTGTGATGACCAGTACTTTGGCTGTTGGCAGACATCGCATGTCTTCACAAATGAAGACTAGGAGGGGAATGGTTTTACTAGGAGCTGCCTCTAGTAGCTGTGCTTAGTGCATTCCTAACTTTATATATTGCAAATGATAATTCCTAACCTTTTAATTAAAAATAAGAAAAATCCAAACTACAGCATTTAAGTGAAATTTTAAAGATAAATGACCTTCAGTGAAAATCCTACTGTTATGGATACACAGACCTAACTTTAGAGCAAGCTGGCTCTAGCTGCATGTGTTGCATGCATAAATGATTTATGGCATTGCTGAAAGTGTGTTACTACTGCAACTGCTTTTTTCTCCTTTGTTAGGGCTGAGTCTCACAATACTCATTCTAGTATTTTCTTTGCTCAAACCCTGAGTCCCTTGGAAGTTGATGTTTTTATCCATAGAGTCAGGGTTACCAGTATTGGAAGACTGGTATGCAGCTCCCTTTTTAATATATTTGGTTCTTTGAGCAGGGCACTACGTGATTGCTGAATGTTCAATTCTCACGTCGTCTTTGCAGAAGAAAAATCACTGTATGTTGGTTTTCTGTTGCTCCCATTTAAGTCAGAAGGAAGAAACAAACCTGCCTTGCTTTTGAAAATTCTTTCTGTAAATTACAGGGTTCACTTGCTGCCAGTGGATGTATTAATATTTTTTATTCCTGCCAACAATATGAGTATGTTGGGAAATGTTTACCCCCCGCAGAACATTGCTAGATGCTGCCTTTGTAGTGAGGTTCTGAATCAGCCCATTTTATACTGACTCAGACTGAGTCTTACCACATATTTCTTCTTTATGTGGTGTGATAGTTGGCACGTGAGTCTCTGCTTGCCCAGTTTGGGAGAGTTTATTCTTTTTACTCTGTGTACAACTGTCTGTCTTTCTGCTTTGTTGAATGGTTGGCATATGTGAAAGAAAGAGATGAAATTCAGCTTTCCGGAGGTGTAACCATATAGCCAAGATTGAGGCTGCATGTTTGGCACTTAGATTTCTAAGTAGCCATTTGCAGGCTCAGTCTGGGGAACCTGACAGTGAACCAGGTGATGTGAAGTCAGGGGTCTTGCATGGCTCATGAGCTGCTGTCCTCCGTTCCCAAAGAGCTCTAGATGCACCCTTCTCTGCTTCAATTGCCACGTCATTGATCCGCAAGCAAGTGATGGCACGAAATAAGTAAGTGCTCCCCTTTTGTTTTTAAATGGAAATTTCTGCTTCGCCGCTTGTAGTATAACAATTGAAATGCATAGTTTGCCTTTGCAGTGTTTTTGTATATACATCTGGTAACTGTTACATCTCACTGGCTAGTCTTTTTCAGCAGTTTAGTTAAAATCTGCTTTCTGCATTCCTTTCTACTCCTAGTAATGGGAATAAAACAAAACAAACAAGATATGACTGTGAGAAAACAACCGTCTAAAGATGCTACTGTGGGACCATGCTGATGCTACCAACCCTGCGTGACAGGTGAGCGTTGCCATACACAGGCACATATCAACGGCTTGAAGGACCAAGATGTCTTATACCTTCTGGTTTGGAGGTTTTTGGAGTTAGCCTGTGAGTGTGAACAACTGATATAGCCTTTGATTTCTTTGTACCGCTCCAGCAGTATTAGGTGGTCAGAGAAGGCTCTCTGCCCTACAGTTAATGCTCATTTTGCTTCTAACATTATCCAAATAACCTACCAAGGCCTTGGATCATATGAGTGTTAAGCCCAAGAAAAATGGTTTCTTCCAACCATTTATAACTTGTTCTAAGAAGTCTTAAGAGTATTTTTGTTGATGTTTTTTATGTGAGAATGTGCAGGATATACCCAGCACTCCTGTTTCATCAAAACTGAATTAATGTGTTTTCTGTATGTAGTACTAAAGCAGCTGAATCTTTCTAAAAGTTACCTTTTAGGTTAGGTGACTCTGATGGACTTGCCTCTGGTGGTGTTGTCAACCTGAAGCTGACCCTTTCTTAGAGTTGCTGACAATTAGATTAAGGTTTCAGATCAGGATTTTCACAAGCCTTCAAGGAGCAGATATTTTTAAGGACAAGATAAGTCGTGGTCATGGCACATTCACAAAATATCATCATCATCTCAGCATCCTCAGCATTTTAAGGAAACAGAATCTTGGAAAATATGTTCAGTTCTAGGATTGTTATGTTCATAGGTTTTAATGTAAAATATATTTTATGTTATCACATCATATGCAATGTTTGGACTGTGACAGCAAGTTCTCAAATGTGTTCAAAACAACCTTCCAACACAAGTTTAAAATTTCTTGCAAATATTTTGCATTCTGATTGACAGGTTTGCTGCCAATTCAAAAACAAAACTGTAAAGTCTAGGGGTTTTAAACCTAGTTTTACCTTAATCTAGAAGTTTTTAAACAGATCATCTCACCTCTCATCCACAATTGCATACATCCTCTTAGAATAGAAATGTATCATATTTTAGTTTTATAATAAAATATATAGAAAGGAATCTGTTTGGACATGTCAGTATTAAATGTAACTATTAATTCAGTATTATATTTGGAAGTAGAGAGGAGTTTCACAGGATCTCTTCAGATGATACTCGGTGGCAAAAGAGTGCAGCTTAAGAAATTCTACATTACTTTTACATTTGAATGGGGAAAAACAAATAAAGACTATCAAGGTAACAGAAATTGATATTGCTGGCATAATTTTTATCTGTAATTACCCTCCTAGTTTTAATTTAACACTATTTTTGCAATTGAATATTTAATATCCAATATAGGAAACAAAGAAAGGAGATTTCTGAAGACAATCTGCTTATTCATTTTATAGGCTTCTCTGATTTTATAAGACCTTTGAAACAATGTGTGCACTCAATTATCTAGCATTCAGTGTATCTACTGAGTAAGCAGACAGTTGTGGACTTCAGGGAATTTTCAAACACACGTGCTGTTCAACCTTAGCAATTTTCTTTTACCTAGGAATTGTTTTCAGAAATTCCCATATAATGAAATTTCTGTTTAAGTTGATAGCTGTAAATGAGGGCATAGTTGCTTCATTTCCTTTTGACAATAAGCCAAATTCATCCCTGGTGGAACTCCATTGATTTAACTCTACTTGAGCTAAGCTACACCGGGGATGAATTTGGCCCAGCTTGAGATTTTTTTATTCATCTTTTCTTTAATTTCCTTTAGCTTAGTAGTCGATTTAGGGCTGGTCAGAGGATTACAATGCAAGAGAGGGGAAAAGCAAAACTTCTCTGCTCAAGAGTCATTTCCTTTTTAATACCCTACTGATTTAACCATGACTTGTAATGTGTTTCAGGTAGCCAAATTTCAACATCAATTTTGGAAGAAAGTTCACTATACTTTTAGTCTCCTTCCTTGGCTACTTCCCAAACCACCAAATCACCACCTACTATACAATGCACATATTATAAAAGGCAATGGAAATGTCAGTGCACTGGGAAATGATATAGATAAACTGCAGTTATCAACTGGTGCCCGATATGGTTAACTTGAGCTCCACTGATTACACACCTCTTTGGCCATTATTTCAGATGATGGTGGAGGTGCAGGATCTCAGCATCTGTAACACCAAACATATCTTCCCCTCAGCCACTGCTTGCTCTACTTGGGTTTCTGAGAGTCTTGGGTGGTTTCTGTCCATGCCAATCTTTTTTTTTTTTTTTTTTCTTAACTTTTTTATAACTTTTGGTTATTGTGGGTTCACACCCAATAAGTTTCAAGATTGAGCAAAAGCTGAAAGCATCATTCAGCCAAAACCACTACTGAGCTGTATGTGGTTTTCGTCTGAAACTGTAAATCAGCTACGTTCGCTGAGGGGTTAGCAAACCTGGCCTGAATGTCAGACCTCTAGCAATTCTTTCAATTCAGGCTAGTTCTGGGTTTCATTACTAAAGGTTTGCACAGCTCTAGCTAAGCCCTCATTTTCCACTTTCAGATAAATGCTTTTTCAGCTGTATTTATGAGGCTTAAGAGTAAAAAAAACCTTACCAGCTGTTAATGTTAATCACAAGTTTATATCATAAGCACATTCTGAGTCTTATCCTCTTTCCATTCATGTCAGTGG